TAAATTCGATGACAATGAAAAAAAAAATTCGCTGAAAAAAAAAGAAAATTTGATCAAATTTCTATATCCCCAAGTTCCCATAGCCCCATGTCCCCATCTTTCAAGAAAAAATAAATTCGTTGAAAATGAAAAAAAAGAAAATTTCATCAAATTTCTATATCCCCCAGTCCCCATGTCCCCATGACCCAATCATTGAACAAAAAATAAATTCGTTGAAAATGAAAAGCAAAAATTCGATAAAAAAAAAAAGAAAATTTCATGAAATTTTTATATCCCCAAGGCACCATGTCCCCATGTCTCCATCATTGAACAAAAAATAATTTCCTTGAAAATGAAAAAAAAGAAAATTTCATCAAATTTCTATATCCCCAAGTCCCCATGTCCCCATGACCCCATCATTCAACAAAAAATAAATTCGTTGAAAATAAAAAAAAAGAAAATGTCATCTACTTTCTATATCCCTAAGTCCCCATCACTCAACAAAAAATAAATTCGATGACAATGAAAACAAAAATTCGCGGAAAAAAAAGAAAATTTGATCAAATTTCCATATCCCCAAGTCCCCATGACCCCATGTCCCCATCATTCAACAAAAAATAAATTCGTTGAAAATGAAAAGCAAAAATTCGATGAAAAAAAAAAGAAAATTTAATGAAATTTTTATATCCCCAAGTCCCCATGTCCCCATCATTCAACAAAAAATAAATTCGTTGAAAATGAAAAGCAAAAATTCGATCAAAAAAAAAAGAAAATTTCATGAAATTTTTATATCCCCAAGTCCCCATGTCTCCATCATGGAACAAAAAATAATTTCGTTGAAAATGAAAAAAAAGAAAATTTCATCAAATTTCTGTATCCCGAAGTCCCTATGTCCCCATCATTCAACAAAACATAAATTCGTTGAAAATGAAAAAAAAGAAAATTTCATCAAATTTCTATATCCCCAAGTCCCCATGTCCCCATGACCCTATCATTCAACAAAAATTAAATTCGATGACAATGAAAAAAAAAATTCGCTGAAAAAAAAAGAAAATTTGATCAAATTTCTATATCCCCAAGTTCCCATAGCCCCATGTCCCCATCTTTCAAGAAAAAATAAATTCGTTGAAAATGAAAAAAAAGAAATTTTCGTCAAATTTTTATATCCCCAAGTCCCCATGTGCCCATGTCTCCATCATTGAACAAAAAATAATTTCGTTGAAAATGAAAAAAAAGAAAATTTCATCAAATTTCTATATCCCCAAGTCCCCATGTCCCCATGACCCCATCATTGAACAAAAAATAAATTCGTTGAAAATGAAAAGCAAAAATTCGATGAAAAAAAAAAGAAAATTTCATGAAATTTTTATATCCCCAAGTCCCCATGGCTCCATCATTGAACAAAAAATAATTTCGTTGAAAATGAAAAGCAAAAATTCGATGAGAAAAATAGAAAATTCCATCAAATTTCTATATCCCCAAGTCCCCATGTCCCCATGACCCCATCATTGAACAAAAAATAATTTCGTTGAAAATGAAAAAAAAGAAAATTCCATCAAATTTCTGTATCCCCAAGTCCCCATGTCCCCATCATTCAACAAAAAATAAATTCGTTGAAAATGAAAAAAAAGAAAATTCCATCAAATTTCTGTATCCCCAAGTCCCCATGTCCCCATCATTCAACAAAAAATAAATTCGTTGAAAATGAAAAAAAAGGAAAATTTCATCGAATTTCTATTTCCCCAAGTCGTCAAGTCCTCAAGTCTCCATGTCCCCATCATTCGGCCAAAGTAAATTCGATGAGAATGAAAAAAAATTCGCTGAAAAAAAAAATTTCTTCGAATTTCTATGTCTCCAAGTGCCCATCGTCGAGACTACATCGTAAACTCACCTGCCGTATTTATACTAAAACAAAGTGCATATGATTTTTCCATCTAATAGTATAGAATAAAAAAAAACTAATGAAGAATATCGAAATCTATATATCAATTCTTTCTTTAATCTCAATTATGCACGGAGCTAATTTTGACTAGGCAAAATCATATCCAATATTTTCAAAACACAAATTTTTATCATTAGTTGAATTTTGCCTGAATACCAAATTTGCCTGACGCATATTATATAGAACCAAAAGGAAACTGAATATTGTTCAAGCGTAGATTTAAAATTTCTTTTTACAAGAAAACTAGGTATAAACCTGATGAATTCTAGTTATGGTGTCAAGACTATTCATAGTCAATTCAATTTTCAAAAAGATCTAAATTACTTTCTTCTTACACGTTTCTTCTTCTTTGGTAAAACAATTCAGTTAATAGTTAATTTCGACATGCACTTATTTTTATGGTAGGCAAACTATTTCGAATATTCAACATAAATAAGGAAATTTGTTTTCAATTTATTCAATATGAATATGCAGACTTTCGCTTTCTTCTCCATCTCTTTTTATTTTGCCATTAAGATATTTAAGAATTGTGTCGTTCAGATAATTATAAAGACATTGATTGCTATTTGGCACTAGACGAAAAAAAGAAATCTGCAGAGTACACTTTTATCTTAGAGTGTTCCTTTAGTAATAAAAATTTTGTTATCCTTTATCCAACCTTGTAGACTAGAATAATTTTATAGGTCACTCATGAAAAATACGATGTGAAGAGAAGATGGATATATACACTCACATATAAGCTCAAAATTAAATCAATTCTCTATCGAAGACTAATATATTTTAAATATCTCATGATTATTCTTTCTCAACATTTGAACTATCTACTAAAGTAGAATGCAACACTAGTGAATATGAGATTGTCATTTATTAGCAAGATTATTTAATAATTAAAATTGTATGCGTTATAATTTTAGTTAAATCAACTTTTCCATCTAAAATATATTGTAATAATAATTTCCAATATTTTTGAACACAAACAACACCTGCACGAAATGTAATACCTTTATCAAATAATGCACCAATCGGAAAATGATTAGTAAGGCCATAATAATCACCAATAAGGCTAATGTGACCAAATTTCTTAACTAAATAAATAGCTTCGATAATAGCAGATGTTGCATCTGTTTCTAATCTTAATAAACCTTCAACTTTATGTAATGTTTCTTTTGTATATCGAAAACCTGTAGCATAAATAAATACATCTGGACCATCTTAACAAATTTCTAGCATTGTTGGAATAACTGATTGTTCATCATAATTAACTCTTTCTACACCTAATTCACGTGCTTTCCTTAATCGTTTTGGTATATAATCAATAGCAATAATTCTTTTAACATCTTGAAGTTTAGCCCACATAATAAAGATAAATCCTCCAGAGCCACAACCCCAAATGTCTATAGTTTGTTCTTGTTTAACTTCTCCTAATTCCATAGCATGCCAAGCAATACATGCTATATTTGACAATAGAACAACTTATTCGTCACTAACACAACTAGGAACAGGAGGTAAATTAACATCAGCAAAAGAAACACGTGTAAGTTATGTTCGACCACCTGTTAAATGCGAATATCCAAAAAGACCAGCACATCGATGACTAAGCAGTGCTTCCATTACTTTAATTGGATTAGTATTATCACAAGCACCATATTATTCTTTCTTGCAATATTCACAATAACCACAAGAAATGACTGCACTTACAATAACACGTTGACCAATTTTAATGTTTTTGACATCGTTTCCAATATCTTCGACAATATCCATGAATTCATTACCTAGAACATCTCCTGAATGCATATCACTGAATTCTTCATGATATAAATGTAGATCAGAACCACATATTCCAACACTAGTAACTTTAATAATAGCATCTTTTGAATCTGTGATTAATGGTAATTGCAGATCTTCGATAGATAATTTTTTCTTGCCTCACCAAGCAACTACTTTCATAGTAACCTTAGAATCTCTTTTTGTGTTTGATGTGACTGCAAGAGGAAGATATTCAATATTCTTCGTTTCTGGTAATAATGGTCTGAGTATTTTTCCAAATGTTTCTGCTATCAGTTTTGTTATGACTGTATTGAGTAGTTAATCAAGAATCATTCATAAAACAAATTACTCTTGATACTAATATTAAGACAATACTTTTTTATTTAGTATTATATATCATCAAAAAACAATGAGTAATAATTGCGTTCTATGTACTTCTTTTTTGTGTTAGAAATGAGCTTATTCCAAAGTCATGCGTAAGTTTTAAATTATAAAAGCCTATTTCCATAATTCTAACTCTTATAAATTCTATCAATGAAGATAAACTTGCTTTATAAATACTGTAAATATGTATATTTACTCAGAAGCTGATTAAAAAGCTAGTTAGCGCAGCTCCAAAGAAACTAAAATGTGGAACTCACGTATATCTTTGAAACTTCTAATCCTGATGTTTAAGTTATAGCTCTTGAAATAGGTTTTTTTCGAATATTTATGCAAGCATTAATACACTACCCAGTGGCAAATGTGTAACGTTCTAACGCGTTTCAAGGAAATGATTGCCCTTTTTTTAAGAAAAAAAAGTGTTCCGATAAACTTGGAACGCGTTCCAAAATGAAAACTACATGTCGAGAAACGTTCTAATTTTCCTGGAACGCTTTTTTTTCTTAAAAAAAGGGCATTCATTTTCTTGGAACGCATTAGAAAGTTCCACATTTTTCACTGGGTATACAGAATCTAGAGCCTTCTATGCGCGGTCGCTAAGGTCTGTCATGGCTGTATGTCTGTATTGTTCTCTTTCTCTGTTGCTAAGTGTCTGTAATGGGGTGGGAGAAGGGAGGGAAGCCGCGAAACCTCGACTTAAAACTTACACTCACGATTTTCTTCGAAAACATACGTGAGTTCCACAAAATACGTTAAGTAAAATTTAACATAAGTGTATGTCAATGAATCAAAGAGTTACTCGAAAATAATAAATAATTAAATCACTTTACATTTCCAATATTCAAATAAAAAATATAAAATCATATTTGTGATAAAAGTACTTTTCTTTTCGCATCAATAAATGAATAAAAGTAGTCGTTACATAGATTGTTTTAACCTCACATATAGGCACGTGTGACGGATACGTTTCATTGTACATGCACTTTTCGTACTTCATTCAACGATATCTGTTCTATATACTTGTGTTCTTCTTACGCGATCTCTGTTGCTTTCTACCAAATCTTTGTTTTTGTACATTGGTTCTTTTTATTATGATTTAGTTACTAATAAGAAGAATAAATTGATATGTTTGGACGTCATTCAAAAGAGATTCAACAAATATGAATATGAATTGATGTAAAAGTGAACAAATGGAAAAACGTTTAATTGAAAAAAAGTAAAGCTAAAATTTCGCAAAAATTATTTGAAATAGGGTGTTTTATTCTAATCATTCTAACCTTTTAAACAGAAATGAGTATTTCAATAAGTATTCTGAATTTTTGATGTAGATATTAAAACATAAAAATGTTGTGATGACGAGTATAGTTTTCTCTGATATGTTTAAGACTATCAATTTTACAAGGTTTATTAATATATTGTTCGTGGTATTTGAATAATTAACATATTGTTTTACTGAAATAAACACAAAGCTTTAAATACCGAACTTAAAGTATGTATTTCTATATGTTGATTAATATGTCAAGTACATTGTGCTAAAAATATGGGTATGGGTGTCTTTCCACACTTCACTCATCCATCCAAATCTCAAACCCAGATCTACATCCACAAATGTATCTAATTTAAATATAACAAGTTACTTTTCAGCAACGATTATTTATTGAATATTATTATTATTGTAATTATCATTATTATGGAATACAACATAGCATGTAGCTGTAGTTTCGATACTTCTTTTATTAAATCCAACTGATAAACAATAAGCTACAGATTTTGCTTTACGTCGTTGGCTTCGTCATGTTTCTGTTGATTAATTTTTTGCTGTATTAATTGTTTAGTACGTTTCGGACATTTAATCGATGTTAAAACTATTACCGCATTAAATAATATGGCAAGCACTTGTATTATTACAAGATGGTGGTTATAAACAACTGTTTTTTCCATGTGCAGTCAGTTTTTTTATTCATTTTTTGTTGATCTCATTAGATTCAATCACAAAAATTAGTGAAATACGTATACTTTTAACAACAAATGATGGTGAATTTAATTGTTTTATATCGTATAAAAATCATTATAATATTAGGTTTTATCTTCCTTTGGTTTAAAAATTTCTGCATTATCTATTTGTGAAACATTGGTATTAGTATTAACAGTTACTATTTTGCTTATTGCGACTTCTTGTTGTACCATGATGACCTGAAATGTGATGATATACGTGAATATTTGATATATTTATCGGAAAAACAGTTAACAATAATAAAGTTGAAATACTTATCAGTAATAGCAAACAATTACCAATTCTATCAAAAAATAACAGTAGAACGATTAATTTGCATTTTTTTCAGTTATTAGACTTTTTAATTTAAGATTATTGTTCAGTAATGACTCGTAATTCTATTGATTAATAGCAAACAAATCGATTAATTTTTTCGATTTCATCGATATTTCTATCAATAGCATATAAAATTTGTTCCTTTTTTCAGATCGTTTATGAAGATATATAGTTGTTAATTTCTTTAAATAAAAAATAACTAGAAATCAAAACAGTTAATCTTGTTGACCACAAACGTAAATAACAACATTCTCTATTGAATTTCCATGCGACAAAAACTGGATAAAAACTGGTGATTTTACCGATCCCGTTACCGTCTCGAAAACCTACACTAAATCGTCGGTTTTGTCAGGTAAACTACGCTTTCAGAAAACTTTATTTAAAACTTTAAAACTATTATTTAAAAAACTAAAATGTAAAAAAAAAGAATCAAAATAAAATGTGAAGACGGTGTAGGTTGTTGGGTATGACTATGGACGTCCCTATGTATGTGAGTCTAGGATTATTCCACACCCACATCCAAATCCCACAACTAAACCATAGCCACACCCACACCCTGCAAAGAGATCGAGAAAGCAAAAACTTCGGCTTTTTTCTTTAACTATATTTTATTCTCTAACATAGTTTATATGTACTCCTTAGTAAACGAAACATACTGTACCAAAACTTTTCATCATTATCTTAAACTACTTAAGGCATAGCAAAAGTAGTGACGGTGATATTTTAATACCCTATAGTAAGCATTAAGAAACTTTCTTTCTAAGTAGTCTGATAGAGAAAAAAATGCACTATCTCGCTATGCTATTTGATCATACTCGAACTAATATAATGATAAAAAGATTTTTCAATAAGACTTTTTTTGTTAACATTTGTGCTCGTTGTAGCAGATCACAACATGTGAAACAAGTTAGTTTTCAATTCCTTAATACGTCGTATGAACAACCCAAATATGCTATAAGATACAACGTGAAAACTCTACAATTTACATCAGGTCACTTATTTTATAGCTGCACTTTTTGTTATAAAACTGGACAAAGTTTTGAGGGATCAAACTTTGGGCATTATGAAAATCGGTTGCATGAAAATTTTCTTTTTCTAAAAAACCTACAATAGTCTTTACTGTTTAGATTGTAGAGCTTTTCACGCTGTATCTTGTGATATTTTTTTTTCTTTTGGTAGAGCATATCTAGAGATGAAATAATGAAATAATAAAAACTGAATTTGTTGTATATTAAAAACATTATCTTTTACCCACTGTCGAAATTTAATTGCTCCAAATTTTGTCCATTTTTAAAACAGCAAGTGCAGCTATAAAATAAGTGGCTCTGTGTAAATTGTAGAGGTTTTCACGCTGCATCTAGTGGTATATTTTTGATTGTTCATACAACTAATAAAGAATCGAAATCTGCAACACAACACTTACTGCGAGCACAAATGCTAACGAGAAAGGTTTTAGCGAAAATTTTTTTATCACTATATTAGTTGAAGTATGATCAAATAGCATAGAAGGATTGAGCATTCTTTTTTCTATTAGACTACATAGAAAGAAAGTCTCGTAAGGCCTACTATAGGGTATTAAAGTGTCACCGCCACTACTTTAGATATGCCCTAAGTAGTTCTGGCAGATCTTATTATAAAAAATTTTAAGAAATTCAAGTAATAAATTTCATACTATCTATATGAAGGAAAAATACTATTTTTTATAATAAATTGTTTTTCTTTCTCTCTCTCTCTCTATGTATTCTTTGGATAGAAAATAGCTTTAAATGAAACAAGGGTATATTTTATTTTTCTATCTGACATAAAAGAAGGATCAACACCATTTATTAATATTTTTTCTTTTTTCTTTTTATTCATTGTAAACCTTTTACTATTATCTTTCAAAATTTTTTTTCGAAAAACTTCAAAAAAAACAGTGTTTAGTCCTTTCTTTTTTAAATGCTTATATTAATTGCAGCATGTATTTGTATTATATACTATGATTTGTGTCTTATTAAATTTATAATAATATGAGCACTTTCACAGATGTTCTCTCTTTTTTTACTATGATGTACAAACGCACTTGCCAATTTAAAAAGTGATATGAATCGCCCTCTTTTAGATTTTACATTTTATACATAGTTTTGATCCAACAACAATTTTGTGTATGTATCTGATCTTAATTATACTTTATTTCTCATAATTTTTTTCTCATGTGAGCATGTCAAGTAGGTGTCGCCATTGCTCGTTCATCATGTCACTCATTGGTGATTCGAGTTACTTTTGTTATCCACAGACAATACGGTATATTATTAATGGGAAATTTTTTTTCCTTCTTTTCATACTATTAATTATTTTATTCATCAAACAATGGAACCATCTAGAAAGAAAAAGAAATCGAATTTATTCGATGACGATAATGACTCTCACGATCGATTTGTGAAAGCTATCCAAGTTCCCCTCAATGATATACCAGATATTGATAAATATGTATTAAATCTTACATCGGAAAAAATTGATGATTTTATAAAGGACATAATCAAACTTATTAATGGTGTTGGAAATGCATTAAATATACGAGAAAAATTAAATATGATTTATACGGAGTGTCCGCCATTAATGTATAAACACATAACGTATGATTTATATTATAATGATAACATTCTATTAAAAAAATATTTCTTTGTTTTTTTATCAATTTTGATAAAGCAACATTATCCCATTATTAGGGAATATCACGCATTAGATTATATAAATTTATGTCATCTACTGACTATAATAGAAAAAAAAAATTTTTTTCGAAAATTCGAACTAATTAGTTATGATAATTTACATTTATCGTCATACTTTTCACTGATAGGCACATTTTTAATTATTATAATATCACATAGAAAAATAACAACTGAAGATGTATGTTTTTTTTCAACAATATTACAAGATGATATTATCAATAAAACTATTTTGGATTGGCCAATATTAAAAGATTTTATTGAATTATTTCGTACTATTTTACATGTTGAATTTGTTAAAAATATTTATTATGAATTAATCAATGATGAAATAGAATCAACGAATACTCTTCTTGCTGATCATTTTAAAGGTAAAAGGAATTCTTTTTAAGAAATTCATTTACATAAAATTTAGTTAGAAGAGAAATATATAAATAAAAATTTATTTCAATTACTCACTTGAGTATTTCTTTTGAAAACAATTATATTTTTTGAAAATGAATATTTTCATATGTTGTTATAATACTCGATTCTTTTTTTTTTTGTTCCCTTTGTTTAACTATGTTTTAATCATCAATAGAACTACGATATGAAACGACTCAATTAGATCTTGAACATTTCATATATTAACAAATAAAAATTATTATTGTTAGACTACATTTCAAAAGAAAGTATTATATAATTGATATTCGTAAAACTAAGGTATGAGTGTGAGTGTTTCTCTTGTATTTATTCACATCCACATCCTATCGGCATCTTTTTTTTTAATCGAATTTCAATAAAGTAAGGTGTTTGGTTGATCAATAGAATTTTTTATTGCCTATCGAATAATACATGAAACGATATTTTCTTTTTATGGTTCTAATACTAGAATGATCACTTTCTGAATTAGACGTTCAATAAATATCTAGTATTAATTATGATTTATTAATAATAAAGTGGTAAAAAAGAAAGACATCTTGAATATCATGTTTCGTATAATATTATAAAAATAATTCTTTAGAGAAATATACTAAAATCAACTAAAGTTAATATTCATTTGATAAATTAGAAAAATTTGTAAAATGTTTTCCTACCTAAAATATTTAATTAATTTTAAACTCACTTAATAATTCAAGAAAATAGTTAAGCGTTTTTTTCTTTTTATTCCGTACAACATATTATAAGAATATCCTCTATAAACAGACAACGGTTCAACTTCTGTTAATGTAAGATGCGCTTGATTTCTATTTTCTCTGAAATTTCAACGTAAATATGATATTTAGCTAGTATACGATTCTTTTTTTTACTTTAGATATTATTGATCATACAATTGAAGAGATAATTGAAAAACGTGGCCTAGCATTTGCAAACTTATCAACATGTTATGCTGCTGTCACATGCTTCAACAGAACAATAATTATAAATAAAAATATTGTTATGTTAGAATTAATTGATGATGCTAAAAATTTGAAGGACAACTCTATTATGTTTGGAGCATTATTACTGATTATGTTACATGAATTTCTTCATGCATTACATCGTACGATAAAAAATCATGCATTCAATCCATTTAATGAACAAAGATCATCTCGAAAAATTGCATCAGATTACAACATGGAAACGACTGATAGTGATACACAATTAGATGATCGTTTATTTGGTATTGTATGCGAAACTGTTGGATATTTAGATGGGAAATTTTTATTAAATTCTCAAAATTGGACTAATTATAATCATCAAGAATTTAAAGAAAATTTTAATGATACAAGAACACGTGATTTAGCAGAAAATAAAAAACATAATCGATGGATTCTACGACGTCAATCTCATAAAACTAATGATGATACAAATACAGATGATACAAAAACGGCATCAATACCAATGCCAACTACATTTCGAAACCGATGGAAAATTCCTCAATGTGCATTAGCATCACCGCTCTTCAATATTGAACAATAAATCATAATTAAATATACATAGTTCAAATGAATATTTATAAGATAAAGTTTACTTGTGTACCTATGGTTTTTTTTGTTTTTCTTGAATAAAATAGAAAGAAAAAATTTCAAAGTAGACTTATTAGAAGATTCATTTGAACAGTGAATCATTGGAGTTGGTTTTAGAATCAAATCGAACCAAGACGAATAATTCTGAAATTTCTCAAGATGATGGAGTCTATCGGTATTCAATTTATGAAGGCTCACAAATGGATTGTAGACTAGTTAATATATATACTATAACTAAGAATGTTGTATCATTTAATAAAGTATATTTCTAGAGTGTTTGGTAAGAGAAATGCAGGCAAATTTAATAAAGTAATTTTAAACTTTTATATTTGATTGTCTTATATAGAACATTAGCTAAGAAGAGAACAAAGCTTTCTTTAGTGTCATTTTAAATGTCTTTCAATTCTATGATCATTTAATTTTATTTTTTGAATATACATAACAGGAAATTTGTAGCAATGCACTTTTTTTGTGTACTCAAAAATTAAGTATTCTCTAGAATCAGTCAGTGTGTCCGCGGCTGTCCGTTCGTTTACACGATAACTTTCGAAAGGAGAGTCCGATTGTAATGAAATTTTCTGCACAGTTCAATCTTAACAATATCTCGGCCGAGAGAAGAAGATGAGCATGATTGGCCGGGCCAATCATCAATTATTGCAAAAATAGTCATTTTTTCCTATACGTCCCTATGAGAAAATTGACCTATCCTCACTTTCGTAAAAAACTTTTACTATCATAATCAAATTAAGCTCCAACTATAATATACCATTCGATAGAGAATTTCAAGAGCTGCAAAATGGTATATGAAACATAAGGAAACAAGAAAGCTAACTCACCTATTGAAAAGATAATTTAACGGAATTAGGATCTGTTTTCGTCCACGCTTTATGTGAACTATAATTTGAGCTCTATCTTCCGATCGAATAGATGACAGTTCGAGGTTTTATGAGGTGAAGAACTTGAATCTGTGCTCCATCCGCCTCAAAATCTCATTGGTTGAGTAGTAACCGATAGAAATCGAGTTATAGGAAAAACGAGTTTCTTAGGATAAATCAAGGCGAAGAGTTCAAATCTTAGCTGTATTCACCCCGAAATCCTATCGATTGGGCAGTAGCCAACAGAAATCGTGTGTTTATAGGCAAGATTTACCAGGATAATTTTAATGTCCAGACATCCTAAAATGACTCATCTGTCTCGTTCACTTTTCAAGTACACATAACTTTCGGATTTGAATCCGCAGTTTCCACATTTATTTTCTTCTGAGAAAGAAATAGTATAATATAATTATTGATGATGCCATCATAGTTTTCGACCCTTTTTCAAATGATCACTTAAGGAATGAATAGTCGTTTATATATATTGAAATCGGAATACATTTCAAGTTCTCTATTGTAAAAATTTTTACTAGTATAATTACGTGATTTTTCTTTATTATCCAGTGTTTTTATATAATAGCGTCATTGACATAACTGTTAGCACTGTCATAATAGTAGACTTCTTTTTTTTTAACCACAAAGTAAGTTTCAAATTTCGAATATAAAAATCAAAATTAAAAGCTTTGTCAATATTTGAAATGAATTTATTCTTAACATTTTTGGATATCGGTGCAATAATATATAGCAGAAATAAGTTTTCTTCAAATGAGAATGGTCTATGTTTACCATTTAAAACAAGAAAAACTATGAATATATTTGAAATGAATTATTTTTATTAACTAAATTTTTTTCGTTTGAAATTGTGCTTCACATCTTTGAAATATTAACAAATAGTAAAACATTTGATAATAATTTTTTTTAAAATTTTTTCATATTAATAGATTCAATATAAAAGTCCTAGCTGGAAATTTTTCATAGAAAAGTTTATCATCAATTATGTAAAAAATTTTGTATATATTATCCTTTACGATAAAAATTTTAAAAATATCTTCGCTTCAATCTATTGATTGGCCTAATGGTGTTTAGATTTCTTTTATATAGTTAAAGCAACGAAACGCTCCTCTTAAATATGGTTGTTGATTTTGAGAAAGACATTTGACCTTTCAATATAGCGAAACAAAATACATGTGAAGTGCTCCATAGATAATTTCTAGATTTTACTTAAGAAAGTAAAAAGGCAAAAAAACCTTTTTCATGAAACTAAGATCTTGGGGGTGTGGGTGTGTCGGGTGTGGGTGTGTCAGGTGTGGGGATGTGTGTGGGATCGGTGGGCGTGGTTGTAGCTGTTGATGTGCATGTGCTTGTAGGTGAGACGTATGATATTGTTTTCCATACCCACCCACACCCACACTCATCCATTTTCTACATAGTTCAGTCTTTACAATATCTCGGTCAAGTTCGAAGATGAGAAGGATCAGCCGAGCCATTCCTGAGTTATTGCAAAAACACCCCTTTTTCCTATAGCTTCCTATGGAAAAATCGACCTATCGCTCCTTTCGTAAAAGACTTTTCCTATCATAGTCAAATAAAACTTCAACTATTTTATACCATTCGATAGAGAATTTCAAGAGCTACAAAATAATATATAAAACATTTAGAAACAAGAAGACTAACTCACGTATTGGTAAGTAGGCATGTATCCAAACTGTTTGGGCCGCTTCTGCCAAAGTGATGAAAAACGGCCTTATTTACTAGATCGTGCGACACAACAGTTTTTCTTCAGTGAAAAACTGAAGTAAGAGAATGATACCATAGATTACAAAAAGAGTGATTTCGGCAACATTCTTAGACTAAATACCAGAGTCAATCAAAAAACCCAAACCCAATGAGTTTCGGTTTGGGTTTGGGTTTGGTGGGTTGTTCAGTTCTCTTTGAATATCTTAGTTAATGGAGCAAGTCATTTGATCATTTTTCATTTAGTTGTCAAAGACAGACTTGCTTCGATATTAATGGCGCTACAGTTTATTCATACAGTTTATAATCAACAAGATAAGTTTGAAATAGCCAAATTCTTCTATTGAGTTTGGGTACATGCCTATTGGTAAGATAAATAAGCGAAAATCGGTTCGGTTTTTCTACACGGTCTAACTGATCCCCACTTAGAGCTCTATCTTTCGACCATAGAGATGATAATCAAAGGTTTTCTGGAATGGAGAACTCGAATCTGTACTTTAGTTGCCTCTAAGACCCATTGGCTGAGCATTGAGAAATAGAAATCAAGTTATAGGAAAGACAACTTTCTGAGGCTAAGTTAAGCCAATGAGTTCAAATTCAAGCTGTATATGCTCCCAAGTCCTATCCGTTAAGCAGTAGCCAATGGAATTCAAGGGTTCATAGAAAAGGTTTGCCAGGCATTTTTGTATCCAGACATTCTAATATGACCGATTTGTCTCATTCACTTTTTGAAGTACACATTACTCTCGGATGTAAATTCCAGATTTTACATTTGTTTGTTACCCATGAAAGAAATGATATCAAGTAACTATGGATGGTGTCTTTATGACTGCTGAAACCCTGTCCCATGCCAATGATGAGTAGATATATGAACAGCCGCTGTGGAAAAACTATATCACATCAGCGACGATCAATATGTCAAGTAATAGATGTTTCAAGTAACAATCAAATTAAAATAGATTTGAAATTATTAAAGAAAATCGTTGACTGCCAGTAATATTCACCTATACCACAAAATTCGAAAAAACATAGCACAACTTTTTTTCGTTTAGTACATAAACAATATAAAACATCTGTGAAAAATACATTTAAAAGTTTCGATCGATAAAAGAGATATTGGGATATCTGAAGATTATAATCGATAGTCATAGCTTAGTTTATGGATACACTCACAGTCGTCGATTAACGACATCTTTCACATGAAACTTTTGCTAGATCAAAAAAAGTATACGGCTTAAAGCAACGCTTTGATTTAACTTATTTAACTTATCATAATCTTTTTCTCATGTGCGCATATCAAGAAGGCATCTTCACTGGTACTACATCATGTCACCCATCAGTGGATCGAGGCACATTTGCTATCATTAGACAAGACGCTATACTAAAATTGGAATTTTGTTTCTTGTTTTTCCATTAATTATTTTATTCATGAAAAATGGCATCATCTAAAAAGAAAAAGAGATCCAATTTATTCGATGAAAATAATGATATTGAAGGCCAAGTTCAGAAATCTGCACATATTCGTGTAAATGATATACCCGATATTGATAAATTTGTATTAAATCTTACATCGGTAAAAATTGATGATTTTATAAAGGACATAATCAAACTTATTAACGGTGTTGAAAATGCATTAAATATTGAACAAACATTGAAAGTAATTTCAACGGATTGTCCGCCACTAAACGAGAAAAACATAATATATGAAATATATTATAATGATAATATTCTATTAAAAAAATATTTCTTTGTTTTTTTATCAATTTTGATAAAGCAACATTATACTGTTATTACAAAACATACTGAATTAGATAAGATTAATTTATGTCATCTATTACGCTTAACAGATGAAAACAATATTTTTAACAAATTTGAAGTTATTAATAAAAATGATTTACACTCATCGTCATACTTTTCACTGATAGGCACATTTTTAATTATTATAATATCACATAGAAAAATAACAACTGAAGATGTATGTTTTTTTTCAACAATATTACAAGATGATATTATCAATAAAACTATTTTGGATTGGCCAATATTAAAAGATTTTATTGAATTATTTCGTACTATTTTACATGTTGAATTTGTTAAAAATATTTATTATGAATTAATCAATGATGAAATAGAATCAACGAATACTCTTCTTGCTGATCATTTTAAAGGTAAAAGGAATTCTTTTTAAGAAATTCATTTACATAAAATTTAGTTAGAAGAGAAATATATAAATAAAAATTTATTTCAATTACTCACTTGAGTATTTCTTTTGAAAACAATTATATTTTTTGAAAATGAATATTTTCATATGTTGTTATAATACTCGATTCTTTTTTTTTTTGTTCCCTTTGTTTAACTATGTTTTAATCATCAATAGAACTACGATATGAAACGACTCAATTAGATCTTGAACATTTCATATATTAACAAATAAAAATTATTATTGTTAGACTACATTTCAAAAGAAAGTATTATATAATTGATATTCGTAAAACTAAGGTATGAGTGTGAGTGTTTCTCTTGTATTTATTCACATCCACATCCTATCGGCATCTTTTTTTTTAATCGAATTTCAATAAAGTAAGGTGTTTGGTTGATCAATAGAATTTTTTATTGCCTATCGAATAATACATGAAACGATATTTTCTTTTTATGGTTCTAATACTAGAATGATCACTTTCTGAATTAGACGTTCAATAAATATCTAGTATTAATTATGATTTATTAATAATAAAGTGGTAAAAAAGAAAGACATCTTGAATATCATGTTTCGTATAATATTATAAAAATAATTCTTTAGAGAAATATACTAAAATCAACTAAAGTTAATATTCATTTGATAAATTAGAAAAATTTGTAAAATGTTTTCCTACCTAAAATATTTAATTAATTTTAAACTCACTTAATAATTCAAGAAAATAGTTAAGCGTTTTTTTCTTTTTATTCCGTACAACATATTATAAGAATATCCTCTATAAACAGACAACGGTTCAACTTCTGTTAATGTAAGATGCGCTTGATTTCTATTTTCTCTGAAATTTCAACGTAAATATGATATTTAGCTAGTATACGATTCTTTTTTTTACTTTAGATATTATTGATCATACAATTGAAGAGATAATTGAAAAACGTGGCCTAGCATTTGCAAACTTATCAACATGTTATGCTGCTGTCACATGCTTCAACAGAACAATAATTATAAATAAAAATATTGTTATGTTAGAATTAATTGATGATGCTAAAAATTTGAAGGACAACTCTATTATGTTTGGAGCATTATTACTGATTATGTTACATGAATTTCTTCATGCATTACATCGTACGATAAAAAATCATGCATTCAATCCATTTAATGAACAAAGATCATCTCGAAAAATTGCATCAGATTACAACATGGAAACGACTGATAGTGATACACAATTAGATGATCGTTTATTTGGTATTGTATGCGAAACTGTTGGATATTTAGATGGGAAATTTTTATTAAATTCTCAAAATTGGACTAATTATAATCATCAAGAATTTAAAGAAAATTTTAATGATACAAGAACACGTGATTTAGCAGAAAATAAAAAACATAATCGATGGATTCTACGACGTCAATCTCATAAAACTAATGATGATACAAATACAGATGATACAAAAACGGCATCAATACCAATGCCAACTACATTTCGAAACCGATGGAAAATTCCTCAATGTGCATTAGCATCACCGCTCTTCAATATTGAACAATAAATCATAATTAAATATACATAGTTCAAATGAATATTTATAAGATAAAGTTTACTTGTGTACCTATGGTTTTTTTTGTTTTTCTTGAATAAAATAGAAAGAAAAAATTTCAAAGTAGACTTATTAGAAGATTCATTTGAACAGTGAATCATTGGAGTTGGTTTTAGAATCAAATCGAACCAAGACGAATAATTCTGAAATTTCTCAAGATGATGGAGTCTATCGGTATTCAATTTATGAAGGCTCACAAATGGATTGTAGACTAGTTAATATATATACTATAACTAAGAATGTTGTATCATTTAATAAAGTATATTTCTAGAGTGTTTGGTAAGAGAAATGCAGGCAAATTTAATAAAGTAATTTTAAACTTTTATATTTGATTGTCTTATATAGAACATTAGCTAAGAAGAGAACAAAGCTTTCTTTAGTGTCATTTTAAATGTCTTTCAATTCTATGATCATTTAATTTTATTTTTTGAATATACATAACAGGAAATTTGTAGCAATGCACTTTTTTTGTGTACTCAAAAATTAAGTATTCTCTAGAATCAGTCAGTGTGTCCGCGGCTGTCCGTTCGTTTACACGATAACTTTCGAAAGGAGAGTCCGATTGTAATGAAATTTTCTGCACAGTTCAATCTTAACAATATCTCGGCCGAGAGAAGAAGATGAGCATGATTGGCCGGGCCAATCATCAATTATTGCAAAAATAGTCATTTTTTCCTATACGTCCCTATGAGAAAATTGACCTATCCTCACTTTCGTAAAAAACTTTTACTATCATAATCAAATTAAGCTCCAACTATAATATACCATTCGATAGAGAATTTCAAGAGCTGCAAAATGGTATATGAAACATAAAGAAACAAGAAAGCTAACTCATCTATTGCAAAGATAATTAAGCAGGCATTAGTTCTGTTTGTGTTTACGCTCTAATTGGTTCACAGTTAGAGCAGTCTTTCGATCACAGAGATGATACATCTAGGTTTTCTGGGGTAGAGAACTTGAATCTGAGCTTCATTTGCCTCGGAATCCTATTGGTCGAACGGTAATCAATAGAAATCAAGTTATAGGAAAAACGACTTTCTTAGGGTAAATGAAGGTGGAGAGTTCAAATCTGAGCTGTATTCATCTGTAAACCTTATTGGTTGAGCAGTAGTCAATAAAAATCAAGTTGTTATAGGAAAAGTTTGCCAGGATAATTTTGGGTAATAATAATCGACCGAATCTTCAGCTTATGACTGAACTGGCCTAACTCATTGATTGGCTGCTTTCTTCATATACATCTGGCAGACTAAAAATGATTAAAAGTGTCATTAATAAAACAGAATGGTGCTGTTACATTATTTGATTCATATTATTGGTACCAGTATGAAAAATTGTTCGTTTTGTTATTTTTTGTACGTAAAATTACTAAAACTCTAGCTGAATTCGATAAGAAAATATAGTCAAATTTTTGACAATAAATTGGATTAAATTAATTTATCTTTCCATTGAATACTTGTATGACCAATTGCCGTAGTAGGCCATCTACGCTGTAGGCTCAAAATTCGGCTAATTAATATTAGTAGGATATTTTTTAGGATCATATATTCTAAGCTGACTCATGTGTCTCATTCACTTTTTGATGTACACATAAATTTCGGATTTAAATCCGAGTTTTCCACATTTATCTTTATCTGAAATTATTAAAGACAATATTCGTTTGGGGTAGTTCCACCGGAAATCTCCCACTTTATACAGAAGTATCAGGTGGCAAGCTGAAACTTTTAGCAATTGAAGACTTCGACATCCTAAGATCTTTGATGAAAAAATCTTACGGACTTTCATTCGGCATCATAGATTTTTTAAAGCCACAATATGTCATTTTTCCACCGATAAGGACCATCCATAGCATTTTTCACCATTTTGTGGTATTGACTTTTTTTCGTAACTACAGCCCATGATTTGAATTTTATAAATTAAAAAGTATGTTTTAAGAAATAAAATTATGTATTGATGAAATATTTGTTTAACGAGATGATCGTGGCAAATTTTTTATTAATCTAATTTCGATATACTTTCATCATAAATATGAATTGGTTTAATTCTGTCGAGTATGAAGATGATTCGTTTAAAAATTTTACATGAATATATAATGATTACATAAATTGATCAAGAAAAAAAAAACAATAGATTTATCTTTCATATTTAGAAATTAATTCTTTTATTTGATTTTGTGAAATAAATCTTAGTAATAATGAATAAAGTAATGGCGAGTATATTTCTTTTTTCATTAGACATATATCGTGTTATCATGAAAATGTTTTATGTGAAAATAATTTTCTTTTTAGATAATAAGATAAATATACATACATTACAAATATCTGCCAAATAAAATTTGTCCTATAATATTATTTCATATAAAATAGATTGAAATGATGGAATCATTTTAGTCACTAAATAAACAGTTTAATTCTCTTATTTATTTGAAATTTTCAATAAAAAAATTTATTTTTACTAAGTGTTATTTTACCTGTCAAGATTGATTGGCATGTAGAAGAATTTTTGTAAGAGTCATATGTTAGAAAGTATAAGTGAATTTTTGAAGGGTAGAAGAAAAATTTGATCTACATGAATTAAAGAAAATTGCAAACATCTTCCGATAAAATGATATCCTACTCATTAATTTTATGAGAAGTTTCTATCAATAAGATAAGAAGGCTTTTAATAGAAGATTTATTGATATCCTCAAAACTTTAACTTATTTTGTAGAGAATCATCTCGTTTTTTATGCTATATTATCGAAATGTTAATTCAGACAATTTCAGAATATGTTGCGAACAAGAGTGTAAGCTAAACTAAAGATTCCCATGATAAAACTAAGAAAGTTTCCAGAAGGATAATTGAACAACAACATGTGATAGATTTCAAATGACATATAATCAGATATATTCTCCTCTAAATCTGCTATTTCTACTGCTTTCGTCTATATTCCATTTTTGAACTTATAAAGATTTGTTTATAGTTCCTAACGTACGGTCTCTAAGAAAATTTCGAACAGAGATTGAGAAAGAACTTTTGATTGGATAAAATTTTGAAGGATATATTAAAGAATTTGTGCGTAAACTTTTTTCTCTAAAATATCAATTGACTTCTCTTGATCTTGACATATCAAATGACGAATCTTTTGTTAATATTCATAAATATTTTTTCTTATCTTCTAATAATCATTGAAAATTTAATTAACAATTTGCACATTTATTTAATTTATCTTCCTTTTATTGTATATATTATTGAATGTTTAGGTTTTCTTGAAATTCTCTCAGTTCAATTCAAATAGTCATTGTTCGATTAGTATGATAAGATAAAAATCAATCAAACATCATACTATCATAATTAAATAAGAGAAAAATAGATTTTTCGTTTTTATATCTTGGTAGACAAATTCTTCGTCATTATTTCAATATGAAGAAATCTATTTTTATTTTCTATATTAATATCTTTGTATATCGATTGAGTCTGACATTGTAGATCTAGATAGTTAATTAGTAAGAAGACAAAAGATGGTTACGAAAAATATTTTATTCATTTGATCAAATTAATAAATTTGAGTGAAAATATTTGTTTGGTGTAATCGCAATGCTGATTGACGTAAACTGTTGAATTGTAAGTCTATTAGAAGAAAGAATCGTTTAGTCATTCAAATGATTAATGTAGAAAATCAGTTATTGTAATCGATTCAAATCAGAAATGCTAGTTGTTCTGCCTCTCATTTTGAAATAGGAACAACGTTTAACCTTTTCACGGCCATGAAAAATAATTGAGGTAGTTTATTTGCAGGCAAAATGTATTTCGCTCAGAGACTTCCTTTCAGAATCTCTGAGTGTCGAGGTAAATTCAAATTTTTATATTTTCAAAAAGGATTTGGCTAATAAACCTTTATAAACTTGAACCAAAATAGCCGTAAAAACTCTAATGGCATGTTATTGTTGGTTTTAAATTATACTGTATATGTGACACTATTTGATTTCAGTAGTCAAATGATTTGTTTGTTACTTTTGGAAGAAAGCAACATGTCAATTTTCTTATCGTTCTTCTTTTTCTATTTTCTTTTGTTTTATTTCAATATTTTTCAACTACGAACTTTATCAAGAGAAATTGTACTTATCCAAATCAAAACATTGGAGATGAGAAGCATGCCATGAGCGAATGCAAACAAGGAAAAAATCATTCTCATGCAAAGAATTTCATTTCGATTAGAGTGTCCACAACAATATGGATCTGGCTTGTGATCATAGAGAATATCTACATTCACATTTATACGAACACTTCATGGTCACACACACGTCCAAAGTCAATTTTTGAATATGTAATGCATTGGCTTACACCTCTACTTATAATCATAACAAAGAAGATATTCTACCTTACGGCTACTAATTCCTAGTGTTGCGATGGCAGCTTCGGTAAGTCTGATATTTTTTCTATAGTTGATAAACTTCGAAAATGATCATACATTTGTTTTAACAGTTATCAACGGAGACATAAGTCGATGAGTTAGTTAGCGATGGTTGAGTCTATGGTAACTTTACTTCTCTGTCGGTGATAGAAGCAGCGGCTGAAAGTTTCCTTAATTTCATGAAATTTTGAAATGAAAATGGAAGAAAATGATGGTAGTGAGTATGATAATAAGAAACTAGACAAAAAAACATTCTTGAAACATGATCCTAAATGTCGAAAATTCTTAAAAATCTAGCATCTGTTTTTATGCTGTGGTGGTAGCTTAGTTGATCGACTTACATCTCTAGACAAAAGATCGGTCTGACACAGAGTACTTTTTGCTCATTCAGCTTCTCATGTGCACTTATTATCAATATATTGGTCTTCGAAGAAACTGTACATCGATTCTATAAATATAACGATTCGATCGAAAATGACATATGATCATGAGTCTTTGGTTTGCAATTAGAAAGATGAAAAAATACGAAAATAAATAGTGACAAGTCAAAATTTCGAAATTG